CTGCCGAACGGGAGCTTCTATTTCTGGCCCCCTGACCCAGAGAGACGTGACCAAATGCCAGGGGATGATTCCTGGGGCTGTCCGGGGGAGCACGCAGCGGAGTTAAGCAAGGGAAAGCGCAGCCTTGAGCAAGCACCCTTGGGCCCTACGCTCCTGAACAGCAGCCCTTCCCTCATCAGCCCCCAGCCTGCTCCAAACCACTCCCTGCTCCAGGCCCCTTGCTGCACAGCCGGATGCCAGCCTGCGGCAAGCTCAGAAAGGCCCTCCCAGGGGGAACATCTGCACAGCAGCCCCGCTGCTGAGAGACTCGGGAATCAACTGAGCGCAGGGACTCCAGGCTTGCTCTGTGCTCCCGGGAGCAGCCCCATTCATTGGCTTCAGCAGTGCTGCTCCCAGGAGTCAGGGTCACCCGTGCAGAGGCTGGGCCAGGGCTCACCTTTCCACTGCCCGGCTAAGAGATTTGAAGAGAGGAATCAAACGGAAGAGAACTCCGGGAACTAGAGCTGGCTTGCTCCCTGCTGTCTGTACTCCCCAGAGCCTGGTCTAGCCTGCCCCCATGTGACTCAAGCAATGGGGCAGAGTCTTCTGCAGCCTGCCAGAGCTCACTGAGCAGCACCTCTGGCTGGTAGCCAGGCCCCCAATTTCCCTCTGCTACTCAGTGCTGCCTCCTGGCCCCAAACACAGACTCTGCCCCCCTGGCTTATGCACCTGTTCAGCTGCTCCTGCCCCATCCCTGCATCAGCTGCCAAGCCCAGAGGGAAAGCGACTGGGCAAAGCGATAAAGAAAGAGGGGCCTTCACGGGTATTTCTGCATGGACACAACACCTGTTGAAGTGCTTCCTGCACATCATTCGCTCTAGGGCTGCCACTACCTTGGCTGACTCCCCCCTAAAGTCTGTGTGTCTCCCGTGCCAGCAGCGTCCCCTCATGCAGCATCCCCTTGTTGTAAGATTCAAACTAATGGGGGACCCACATTCATCAATCACAGTTAAGTTGGTTTCCCCCAGGATCTAACGGGCTTTACAAGCGCTAACGAGAACTCACTAACGGAAAACCCTGGGAGACAAACGCACTCGCACCATTTGACAGACAGCCAAGCTGAGCCACAGGGCGAGGAGCAGGATGCAGGAGCCTTAGTGGCCAGTCCCCTGGTCTCATCTGGGGCTTCTGCATTCCTCCAGCCATGTGCCAAGCTCCAAGCTGGCAGGAAGCAGGATGGGTCTCCTCAAACCTGGCCCCATCTCACGTCCATCAGGATGACGGGTGCCAAGCTCAACCCTCTTCCTGGCTCCCTCCTGGTACCTCCCAAAG